TGAGTATATATGGTATATAGTTATTTTCTATACATTTGCTCTAGAATCTTAGGTTTCTCTTACTATTCAAATATATATACATACATATACCCATATATAGATATATTTAAATACCTATACACACATGGGAGAGCATGTGCAACATAGCAGTAACAACCGTGAGTCTGCAAGACACACACCAAAGCTCTGAAAAATGGTGAATGTCTTTGGTTGATGACACTTTAGAGGAACTTTGCTTCAATCTTGGCAGCATTCCGTGTGGTTTGAATTTACCACTGTTCTCATGTAAGTAGGTAATTTTTGCCACACGGCACCACACATTCTGCTGGACACCAGCTGCTGCCCGTCTTTTTGCTTGATGTCATGGGAGACATTTCTCTGTCTTCCAGTCTCAGGTCTTTCATGCACGTGGACACACCGGTCTGACCTGTGGTCCAACTTGTCCGAATGCCAAGTCCCTGACCCACCAACTGGACAGCGCATGGATTTGAGAGAGGAGGGGAGTATGTAGCCTCTTTTAGGACAACCCATCGGGAAGTCAGCTCATCATTTGTAGCAGAAAGGCTGGACCCAGAGAAAGGAAGGAAGGAAATCCGCACACCTTTCTGAGTTCCCCTCCAGCTCGAATACGAGCTCGTACTCGGACGTCGATCCAGAGCTACATGGATCAACATGTAGCTTAACATGCTTTGTTAAGACTGTTTGAAAAATAAGATAGAGAAACCTAAGCCTTATTGTATTCCCTTCCCCTTGACTTTCTGGTCTCACCCTATGTTCCCCGACTCCAAAGTATAGATATTCACAAAGCAGACGAAGAAGCCAATTGAGAAGAACTCACCATCTTCTATTGGCAACCCAACACAGAAGGTTTGACAGGGAATTCAGAGATCATTAAGTTTACGTTAGCCAGGGAGGAACTATGCAGAGGAAGCAGATGAGAACGGATGGAAATTCACAGGCTATAGTCCATGTCACATACCACCCTGTCACCTTGTACCTGTAGAAGTGTTGAACCGGTACATGTTTTTCTGTGTATATTGTCAACAATAACGAAATAAATATTTTAAAAAACTCACAATCCATATTCCATCAAACTCCACTTGATTGTGGAAAAGCTCAAATTCCTTTGTCCACCAGACAGCACATTGGGGATTGGTGTAATCCGGAAACACAGTTCTCCCTGGCCAGACCTGAAGGGGAAGGAGATGCACTAACTGATAAGCATAAATGCATTGGACGTAGGGTAAAATCGAGTACTAGCAAATTAAAGTTCCTGCCATAACCACATTAGCAGAGGTGCCCAAGAATAGAGCTCTTCTTCCAGGAGGAATGCTGGGCTCTCTGAATGCTTAACATAAGCTTCAGGAAAGACAGGTAGTCGCTTGCGGAAAAATGTATTATATTTGTTTGTTTGTTTTAAATCTTAGTCCTGAATGAGAACGTCCGTAGATAGAGGGAGTGTGTAGCCTGGCAGACTTCAACACTGGTTCATCTTTCCCTCCTGCTTTCTCTAGTCTCTACTCTAGGACTAGCCAAGGGTCACGGCGACCCTAAAGGGCAGAGAAGAGCAGCTCCTTAGGGTTTCTAAGATCTTTACAGGTGCAGAAAGCTTCATCGCTCTCCTACAGAGCAGCCAGTAGGCTTGAACCTCTGACTTCATGGCTAACAGCCAACGCATAATGCCCTGCATGACCAGGGCTCCTTCAAGGTGGGGAACACCACATCACTTCCAGCTGATCATTCCAAGTCGGACTTGCCTATCACCAGGTGAGCCCTACACCTCTGGGGCTCTCTACGCCTTTCCTTTCCAATTCCTCACCAGCACCAGGCACTCAGAGAGGGTCGTCTGAAGCATTAGGTGGGGACCAGCAGATCACACTTTCATGGAAAACAGCGACAAACAAAGATGGGAGAAGTGGTCAAACGTATCCAGTGTTGCAGAGAAATGGGGCCGCACAAAGATTAAAACCTTTCCATTGGATTGTCCCATCAGTAAGTCACTGGATGGGGGCCATTCGAGAATAGTGTTCGCAAGAGGGTGTGGTCAGGAGATGGACACAGTCAGTTGAGGAGTCACTGGGTGGTGAGGAAGTGGCTGCTGTGTAAACCACTATCAAAGGGATTTGCACATGAAAGGAGTGTGGTTGGCAGAAAATGGGCATGGAAGGGTGAGTGTCTCCCCACCACGGACAAGCAGAGGGCCAGTGAAGCACAGGGACCCTGGCTGAGCGGGATCGACACAGGGGCTGCAACCATGGGCACAAGCCCATGAGGACCAGACCCAGTTCTGTGCTGCATGAGGTCACCAGAAGTTGGCAGCACCTCAATGGCTTATAATAGCAACAACATATACACGCATCTGGACATGGAAAACAGAGTCCATCTCTCTCTCTCCCTCTCTCCCCCAGCCCCTCCCCCAGCCCCATTCAATTACCTCCCCAATGAGTGGAGTCACTCCATCCGAAGTATTCACCCAGATCTTCATAGCCGAGCCCCTGGCATAGGTGTCGTAGGGGTCGCTGGCGGAAGAGTTGTTGGCGATGGCTGGGTCCTGAGAGGGGAAACACAAAGAAGCAGCTAGCATTAAGCTAGAGACCCAGGAGGAAGGTTGGGAATGGGGATGTGGTGAAGAGAAGGTGGGGAGCTGGGGAGGTGAGGGGGGTCACATACGGCAATGATGACCAACTTCTGTTCATTCCTGTGTAGCTCCTTAGCAAATTCAGGGAAGCCTTTGTAGTGGACTGGGTCATAGGTGAAGTCCCTCCTCCGGTCCATGTAATCAATATCAGCATGCTGCACATCCTGCAGGAACAGACAACGGCCCCAAGGTCAGACAGCGGCCCCAAGGTCAGATGGGTCTGTCTACCTGTCATGTTCACTGTTCCCAGGGGGCCATCTGTTCGGCTACTCAATGAAAGGGTAAAGGTTCAAGTCCATGTGGAGGTCCCATGGGGAAAAGGTCTGAAGGTCTACTCGTGAGCAGTCACCCACACAGAACCCTGAAGCCCAGTTCTACTCTGATGCTCGGCAGGCCTTGGACAGGAGTCCATGGGGACCAGGTTTCATTAGCCACAGTAAAATCCACGCTGTGCCAAGCCTTCAACAGAGAGCTCTTTCTCGGGCCCTGGAGAGCAAGGGCTCCTTCCCTGATACTGATCTGCCCGCCCCCAGGCCTGCAATCCGCTTAAAGATTCCTTTCTACCTGCTTGCCAGGTTCTCTGGCTTTGAAAACTTCCCAAAGCTTCTGGGGCAAACCACACAACCTGGACGCAGCACAAAGGCAGCTGGAAAGTGTCATTGCCTGTGTCACCAGGGGGTGGGCAGGGTCTGGCCCTCCTCACTCTTTCTCCGCTTCTCTCTGACTCCTTTCCTTCCCCCCGCCACAGCTGTCTTGGTGTCTCTCTGCCTGCTTTCACTGAGGGGAAGAGCAGACCCCGGAATTAAACCGTCCCCCTCCAAGAGGGCAGGGTAGAGGAGAGAGAGGGGGACCCTTCCAGAAACTTTGGGGGCTTTTCCATTTGCATCTCTCATGCAACCTTGTGGTCTCATCCCCCATGCCCCCTACACCCCCCACCCTTCCACCC